GAATGCAAAAAGTGAAAGGTGTAATCAAGCGGCGACGGCGGCTATTAATCCCACGAAACCCTACTAGAGAGCCATAGGGTCATAGAGAGCCCTCTTACTTGATTAACGTATGTATTAAAACAAGCATACTGTTGCAATAATTCAATGGGTACACTGTCGGCTGCTTTTACTATGTATCCATAGCTCATTGCAACATGATCATGTATATATCTTGTGTTGCCTTTCGTATCTTTGTTGGACTTGACCAGCAGGCTTTCAAAATCAGCATAAATTGCAAATGGATGTTCCTGTGTTTTGTCCCATGACTCGAACTTTAATTTAGTGCCCTCTTCAGGCATTATAGGTAAAAACGGTTTGTTTTCGCCACAAATTTTTTTATGTTCTTCTAACGCCTCAACTCCACGTAGTTTATACTTTTTAGGTACATTATTAAAGCCCGTGAAACACCGTTTACAAAATATCCTTTTTGCTGTATTTTTTGTTATTTGTGATTGTACCAATCGACCAAAATCGGTAATATAAGTGTAATGGATGTCACCCGCGGCGTTTGACACAATTAACAAATCGATATGGTCTCTACGTTCTTCAGCGCACACTTTCAGCGGATAAACTAAATATTCGGGTTTATTATGTATATCTTTCAATTTTAGTCCATAAACATTAACTGAAGTATGCGGATTATTTTTTTCGAAAATTTTTATGTCTGAAATCGGTGTTGGGAATGATAAACCGGAGAAATTATAAGAGTTTTCTATAGACTTATAATTCTGACCTACTTTATATTTGTTATCACCAGTCACATTCTTTGCCAATATAGCCCATTTGAAACATTGTTGATCTATATTTTGCGGGTTTATTACAGCATTTCTGTTTTTAATATCATGCGGCAAATCAATGTAAGAACTCCCGCCTAAAGGCTGATATTTGTATACACCCAGTAAAATACCGTCTATATTAGAAAACGAAAAATTACTACCTTTACCAGCATAATTTTCCTGTTCTTCTAATAATTTTGTGTATGAAATATCCACAGCATGCTCAATATCGTCCTCGTTAATTATCTCGGCTGCTGACGTTTTAAATGACCGATTTTCGTACTTGGTTTCATTATTTGGTACAGTATAAGTCGCCTCCAGTTTTAAGTTGAATTTTATCGAGCCCATTTCTTTAAGACAGTCGCGTAATATTTCAACTAAATCGCCTCTTGTTGCTGACAAAAACGATTGATACCCAGCTACATTTTCAATATTCTTTTTATAAAACCATAAAATTTGACTATTTAATGATTCACCCGTTTTATGAAAACCGCTCGTCGTAATGTCCTGTAATCGTTTCACCTTTACCCGTTTACATTTAATCGTATTGTCG